CATAGTTGAGGTATACCTATGATGAAAATTACAGGCCTCTCTCATCTTTTTAAGTGGGAGAACTTGCACAATTGGTGGCTGACTAAATACTTTTTTGCCCCACTGTATGTGTTGCAGAAGGGTACAGTACTATAATATATTCACATACAGACCTTCCCATTTATCAACTGGAACTACCCATTTAGCAGATAAAATACTAAATAGCAATTCAGCTGCCAGACACAGGCTGGCAGATGTTCATATTATCAAACAGACATAGTAATTTCTTTTCCCTATCTGCAATAAGAATTGGCAATATGTTAACATTTCTAGCAAAGCTTAATGCAGTAAGTAAGTAAATAGTTCTTAGGAAAAAAGGAAGGAAGGCCAGTCATTCTGGCTGGAAGATGAGTAGTACTTAATTAAGAAATTTATATCGCCCCTCCCACACACACACACACATACTAACCCACATCACCAGAATCTGGGTGGAACAGTAGCAAATGTTTTCAAATGTGACTGAAAGAAGCTCAAATAATGAAGTAACCTGGGCCAAGCTAAGTAACAGAAAATATTATTTCTGAACATAAAGTACTGCACAACCACACTAAGCACAAGTATTAAACACAACTTTTCTCCAACTTTCTTTCCCCAAGATCCAAAAGACTGGTTGCCTTATCAGGATTTTGTCAGAACCACAACTTCCAAGATAAAGCAATGGTTACACTTGAGGAAATACTTAAGAATAGACTCAGAACAATGGAAAAACTTATAAAACAAATACATCCTTTTTTTGGATTCTTTATAACACAGTGTTCACTCTGGATGGAATCTGTCTTGTGAACTCAGAGAGAGAAGGTACATCATGGGTACTGAAAGAATGTCATCATTAGGGACCGTGCTGTTGAGCCTTCTCAGGGCCAGCCCCACGTCTCTGGAACAGCCTTCCCCAGCTACAAGGAGAGATCTTTCTTTATTAAGTGTCTGAAGACCAGGCTTTTTCAGTGGGCCTTTTGAGACAGGGTGGAATGTAGAACAACATCTAAAAGGTAAGCATTCTAATATGATGGAATTAGAGCAGTTCTGTTCTGCTGGCTGTTGCAGGGAGAGGATGGGTGAACTATTAACTTTAATCCTATAACACAGGACTGCAAGCTGCTTGGAGTCTTCTGACTAGAATAGCATAGAAACTCCAGGTAGGTAGGCAGGCAGGCAGGTGGGCAGGTGGGCGGATAGTATGGCAGTAAGCAGCTTTATGAAACACATTTGGCCAATGCCATTTTCTGAAACCTAACAGAATACCTGTATGTCTCTTTGATAAGCACTTAATAAGTTCAGGATTCTTGATAATAGCTATTAATATTAATGAAAATGAAAATGTACACCAATATTTTTTATTTAAGCAGCAGCTTAAGAGATAACGCAGAAGAACACATGTAGGAAAAAGCACAACCACGTTTTAGGAGTATATTTAGGAAATAGCATAGGAGGGTTTCTGGGTAAATTCTGTAGTAGAAAACATAAATGGAACATGGGGAGGGACTGAACATTTATATTCTGTAGTGCAATGACTGTTGCATCCAAGACTCACTATGCCTCAAACAGATGATTGGGGGCGAGAACTTCTAATTTTCTTGCTTACGTTTTTTATTTTCCCACTGCAAAGGGAAGGAAATTAGCTTCTGGTCTGGGGAGGTGACAGAGGAGCAGACTGCCTCAGAATCCTACAACCTTCCTCTGAAACACTCACACTTTGGTTCCATTCAGCTGAGTCTTCTACCACTGCAATAAGGATCATTCTGTCAAGATGTACACTATCTTGTTGGCAGATTTTCCAAGTAACAGAACAGGACTTTTGCTGCATCCAAAGCCAGCTTAGGCCAAAGTACTGCCAAAAGTCATAGGACTGCTTCCTAAATTGGTTATAAAGCAAATTCAGCAAAATGGCCAGACAACCTATATTATATGCATCAAGTATTTGAAGAAAAATCATTTGGAAAGAATTAAGTGATTTTTTTTGGGAATGAATTAAGACAGTACACAATGAGTTTCCTTCTCACCAAATGGAATTGAATGCTATGTCATTAAACCATATTCTGGAAGAGTTACTTTCTCCAAATTAAGGGTATTAGAATGAAAATGACTGTGTTGCCATAGCTGTTGGCGAACTGTTTATGTGCAACACTTAAAAATGTAATGCAATTATGTTTGGTGGTACTTCTGATTTTTTAATTTACCAATAACTTCACAGAGTTAAAAAAAAAAAAGCCACAAACTTGTAGAGACATTTATTCAACTACTAAATACTTGTAAACAACAACTAGAAACAACATCTCTTAAGAAAAATAACAAAATGCATCTCTAGCTAAAAAATAATAATGGAAATAAATGAGCCTTTGAGAACACTTGCAACATAGTTCAGTGGAAGCTAATGCTTTGGGAGGAAAGGACTGGGCATCTAGCTTAACTGTCATCTTGTAAGTGGCAATACGTCTGCAGTGATCCCTTTTTTTACATGATTTGAACTTTTCCAGAGTTCAGTGCCTGTTCAGAATGCTGGACACTGGTGACTAACTCTCCAGTAATGTCTATATAAATAAAGAAATGGTCTATCAATTGAGAATGTTATTGTATCATACAAAATATTTAGAACAGTGTTCTTCAGTCACATAGACACTGCACAAAAAACAGATGCTGCCTTGTTTAAAGATTCTATGGTTCACAAGGCAAAAAACCCCATTTACTTACATCTTCAGTGTCCTTGACCCGTAAGATCTGTTCCCTCAGGTCCTGTAAGTCATTGAACGTGGACTGTGCTGTAATAGAATAAACTAGTGCAAATCCTTGACCATTCTTCATATACAGATCCCTCATTGCGGTAAATTGCTCCTGTAATCAATATATATATATACATATATTTTTAAAAATTAACTATTAAATAGAATTAGCCGTGAGACTCACATGTTGAACCAGAGACAAAAGTGCCATGGTTAATTTAAAATTTCCACTCTGCTCTTCCAGAAATATCTTGAACACTGACATTCTCCAGTCTTATCTTAAGAGCTGTCTTATATTTTACAGCAGAAGTGTGTCTCAATTTCTCCAGTGAAAGACAACTGTATAATATTCTATCTATACCCTTCATTCTTCCCTCTTACACACACATACACAGCACAGTTGAAATAACTGGCTAGTCTCAGAAAACTGCAGTCAGACCATATGCTATGGGAATACATGACTTTGTATCAAATCTATAACATAAACGTCTGCTGTAAAGAGTAAAGCAGCATTAAAATACAGGAGGATCTAAGGACAATATTAAGAACCACTACAAACTCCATATATTCCTGATTTGCATTTGACATTAGCCCTGGCCAATGACCATAATGGCTTGATCTGATGAGCGTCCAATGAGAGAGATACAGTTAAGTCATAGTTAAGCAAAGCTACATTATTCCAGAATTCTGTAGATATTTAAAAATATATTATTGGAATTCTGTACTTGGAATCCAAATCCAAGATCATGAAATTCTGATTTACTTCTCATAAAAGCCATCTTGAATATGTAATTGTATGACTTGAGCTACTCTTGAATATATCATAAGCAAGATTAGACAAAGGAAGATGGGTCCTTTTTCCTAAATAAACATTGAATCTCGTGATCTTGCTGCCATCTTCCAATACAAAGTATTTTAAAATTTATTATAGATTGTACTTACTGTCCCTGCTGTATCGAGGATTTCAAGCATACATTGTTGGCAGTCTACTTCCACTTGCTGGAAAGCAAAGGGAGAAGACACACACCACTGAAGCATTAAACATGTCAATGCTTTCCCATACAACTACGGTGAGACATTTCATGATCACAAGTGTTTACAAATATACAGAGATTAATCAATATAAGACCACCTAACCCAACCTGTAGAATAACAATTTTTTTCAGCTCTACCACAAGTTGCCAAATTGAAATTAAACCTACTAAAGCATGTGCTGGACCATTCCCTATTGCCAAGCTTTGGAATACTAGAATACATATTCAAATGGATAGTAGTAGTCATTTTGGAAGTTTTTAATAGACAGTGTTGACATTTCTTAAGATGAAGAGTAAAAATATCTGAAATGAAATTATAAAGTACTTTATCTACTTTGTGGGTTTTCCAAAAGCTGTGGCTTCTAATTACAAATTATTGTAATAATGATAATTGGGGAATAGAAGCTGCATGCCAAATGATTGTTTAAAAAGTGTTGCATGTAATTAAAGTTAGCTTGTGTTATTTTTCCAATAAGTAGGAAATTCACATACTAAAAAAAAGACTTAGTGTTTTCCCCAAGTAAGTCAACCTTAATTGGAAAGAACGCTTTAGATTTGCTGAGACTATAGTAATGGAGCCAACGCAGAGATTTTTAAAAAAACTCTAATTCCGCTTTTGTGGCAAATATCATCTTTCTTTCACATTAACATGATGTATTAAGATACTGCAAAGAAATAGTTATCATAAATGCTGATCTACACATTTTGTCTGATACTGTAAAACAACCCTGCATTACTTGTAATCTCATTCCAAATGATGGCTGAGATAACATACATGGCCTGCCACAGACTTCTACATGATTAGTTGTCATGGCTTTGGTGAGATGACTGGTTATTTCAGAAACTACAAATGTAGGAAAATTCAATTCACGCAGAGCTGCAAAACCTTCTTTCAAGGGCCATTCCCCACCTCCTGCCCACAAATCACTGCTAAAACTATTTGTCTTATAGGTATGATTTGTTCCAACACCACCTCTGGGGCAAATATCAGTTTTTGTTTAATTTCTGGCAGAGAAATGACACGGGAGAGGGATCAAGGCTCTTTTCCCTGAGTGCCATGATTCCAGTCCAGATCGGGTTTTTATCATTTTTCAGAAAAAAAGGAAGTCTAAACTAAACAATCTCATGATTATCTCTGTATAATATAAGAACCAATGACCCACAATCAGGATCTTTATGGCAGGGAAACTATTGGTCATTGTAACTCTATCTCAAACAAGACATAAAATTTACACCTGTTCATCGGCTGAAATAAAGGGTTTGATCTGACATAAAATTTGAAAAGCCCGTATTTTACCTTTCTGTAAGAGTCTTCTATTGTGGGGTCATATTTTTCAACAAAAATTCCCTGAACAAACTGCACAGTCTGGAAAAGAAAGAATGGGGAAAAATAGACTCAGTTAGCTCCCTGAAGCCAAAAATCTACAACAGACTACTCAGTAAAGCATACAGTTTTAAGTGTGGTTCTGCCAATCTCATTTTCATGCTCCAAGGCCTAGAGGAGTAAATATATATATTTATAATGCAGATTTATCTATATAATTTGGGGCATATTCATTACTGAGTTTCAACTTTTCATGAGTTCAATAAAATGTATGAATGGGATAACATTTCCAAGTATGTGTGAAACTAGTCCAGTTATGTTTAATTAGTCTGTCTTAGGTAAGAAATCATGGCATCCAGCATGAGGAGTTTATGTTAGACTCCTCCTAAACTGGTTCCCTCAAATCTACTGGACTTCAGCTCTCATAATTCAAAAGCCTTCACAGACTTTTATTGGTTGGGAATGATGACAGTTGATATCCAGTGAAACCAAGTGCATCAATTTGGAAAAGGCTCTTAACATGATAGTATTAAAATGTAACAATGTTAGAAATGGATCTCTGAACCAGTTCTCTCAAGATTACCTTGTGACTTGCTCATGGGTTAATTCTATAGATCATTTCCATATTTCTCCCTAAGTGCAATACAAAAACAACAACACTAGGCTGATACACTAGGAACAGCCCTAGTAACAAAGGACACATATACCAAATGCACCTCATAGGAATCAAATATATGCTCATTGATAGAGAACATATTTATGGATCCTGAAATATGGTTCAGTATGGATGTAATGTCATCAGTCTAACAAAATGCCCATGTATTCTCTCTCCCTTTTACTTTGACCTTCTTCCATTGTGGAGGGTCTAATTTATTAACCATGGTATTCTGCTACACACCAAGGATATATTCTAAATTAAGCCAGGCCTGAGTCATAGGAAGCATTTTGAGATAATATATTAAAGATACAAGGCATCAGAATCAAGGCACTATGTTGACAATCATGACTCACAAACAAGCAGACATGAAAAAAGAAACCAGAAGTCAGGACTAAAAGAATCATCAAGGATACAAAAATATACCAAAGTTTATGGTATCTTCTTGTTCTCTCATTCTTCTTTTTGTCTAAGATATGAAGCTAGATTCTGATAGTTGTGTATAAACAAGCATTTGGAATTTGAAGCAATTATTATTATTGAAGCAATATATTTGATTGTTCTATGCTGCCCAGAGTCTTGAGAACAAATAAGGCAAGTGCTAATGCTCCTGATAAATGGTTTCAGATTTGAAAGTCTGGTTATCTGCAAAAGGCATCATTGTATTCAAGAGACTGACAAATGCTTCAGTGAATTCCTAACAAGGGAGAAACCAATTTTATAGCCTTCATGCTCACTGGCAGTATGAATTGTCAGTAGTCAACCCTCCTGCAATTGTGCAAAGTCTAGCTCAACCTACACTTACTCCTACAAAAAGAACTCCCAATATATCATCAAAATGAAAAACCAGTTCAAGTTCTTTTTATATAACTCATCTTGTTAAACAAACAAACAAAAAAACCTGCAATGGAGAGGCTGACCTAAATAATTAGATCAAAGTACAGTGTAGCAATAAGGTAAATGATTCAAACATAAAGTCATTTATTTATTGCCAAAGAAACACAGAATTTTTATTCTTCAGTATAGAGAATTTTCACCTGCCCAAGCCATGTGCAAAAGAGCCAGTATTCTTAATACAAGAAGCTGCAGCAAATATATATGCTGAAATAGCCTTCCTTCATATTGCCAAGGAAGGTTATACAGCAATGTAACCCCTGAGCCTGAGCGCGCCAGTGCCATCTCTGAGCTGCAGCACGCCAAAATGCCCCTTTGTGCTGAGCTCCTGGACCGGGCTGGGCTGGGCTTTTGGTCAGACAGGCAGGTGGGGGAAGTTGAAGTGCCCCTGCAATCCTAAGTGTGGGCGGGCTGCCGAGCGTCCCAATTTTAATCATGTGACCATGGGGGCACTGCAATGGCCGAAATTTCGGGCACTGGTTGTAAAGTCACTTTTTTCAACACATTCGTAACTTTGAACAGGGAGGGAAGGAAGGAAGGAAGGAAGGAAGGAAGGAAGGAAGGA